GTGAACATAACATTAACAAGGGCGGCAGGTGAACATAACATTAACAAGGGAGGCAGGTGAACATGACATTAACAAGGGCGGCAGGTGAACATAACATTAACAAGGGTGGCAGGTGAACATAACATTAACAAGGGCGGCAGGTGAACATAACATTAACAAGGGAGGCAAGTGAACATAACATTAACAAGGGAGGCAGGTGAACATAACATTAACAAGGGTGGCAGGTGAACATAACATTAACAAGGGAGGCAAGTGAACATAACATTAACAAGGGAGGCAGGTGAACATAACATTAACAAGGGAGGCAGGAGAACATAATGCCAGTGAAGCTGGAGAACGCCATGAACACAAAATGAACAGCGCTGCCAAGGTTCTCACACAACATTCTGAATGTTAAAATCCAGATGAATTTTCTTCTCAGGTTTCAGTAAGATAATACTGAAGAGAACATTATTAGTAAGGTAACCACGACTGTGATTACCTTACTAATAATAATTGTTGGAAAGGTAACCACGACCTCGCCTATAATTGTTAACAAGGTAACCATAACTAATATAATTGTGGTCAAGGTAACCAGGCAGTCTTCCGGTCTGGCTCATGACTATAATTGAATATAATTAAAACTCTCGATAAGATCAGAGAATTAGAAGGTGGTGTTGGGCGGGTGTGGGATGGAGGGGTAGGAGGATGGGTCGGTGGATGGAGGGATGAGTTTGTGGATGGATAGGAGAATGGATGGGCAAACGAATGAGTTGATGGGTGGGTTAGTTAATTGTTGGATATACTAGTTGGTGGATGGGTGAATCAAGTTGTTTATTGGTGATTAATGGGTGTGTAGTGGATGGGTTGGTGGAATAGAGGAGTTAGTTGATAAGCGACTAGATGAGCTGATGGATAGGTTGATCGATGGGTGGTTGGGATGATGAATGGGTTGATGGATGGGTATTGGATTTGTGGATGGCCGAGTGGCTGGATGGGATGACTGAGGGTTGATGGATGCATTCATTTGTGGTTTGATTGGTGATTTACTGAATGATTTGAGTGTCTGTATTGATTAGGTAGTGAATGGGATTGGAGGGATAGATTGATTGGAACATTAAGGTTTGGATGGATGAATGAGTAATTTGTTGAATATTAAAACTTTCAAGAATTGGTAATGGGATGGATAAGTTTTGTAATGGATAGATGAAAGTATGTCTAAACCTGGCAATGGATAGGAATTGAATAAAAATATGATTAAATATATATTCAATATTTGATACCAGATGTGTGATAGAATGATTGGGAAGGGTCAATAGGATTAGTGAATGGGAAGCCAATAGATCCGTCCTGTATTGTCCTGTCTAGCTGTCAACCAGTAGTATTAACCCTCGTGTTTGCGCGACCGTCAAGGAAGGAGGAGGAGGGAAGGTAGGTGTCAAGCAAGGTGGATGGGAGGGGTGTGTGCTGGTGGGTGGGAAGGGAGGAGCCCCTACGGCACCCAGAGAGGAGAGCACAGGGGCCAGTGTGCGTCTGGTCGCTGTGTAGTGAACACCGGCGCGCTCCCAGCCCTCCTTGGCTGGTGTTTCTCGGTGCGGCCGCCGTGGCTAAGCCTGCCTGATGCTCTTCATGCAAGGGGGCCGGGTCCTCTGAACATTTTCCCGTTGAAACTCTCGGCTAACACTCTGAGAGGCGAGCTGTACTTGGCAAAGCGAAATGTCCAACTATAATTATTTTTATATTGTGGTAAACTATGTGCAGGAAGTGGGCCACACTATGCCGGGCTGAGTGATGTGATGGGGTTGAAGGGCAAGTCTTTTTTCTAGTGTACTTGACGTCTTAAGTAAACTCTTAACTCTGTGATGTAGAGTATCATAATGTGACGTACACACTTAAAACCGTAGAGTGTTATCGATAATTGCTATATACAGACAACATTTAGAGAATAATCAGATCACATCTATCAAATCAACTAATTACTGGCCGATGTTCTCGTAAGAAAGAAAACAACGAGAACCCGATAGACTAAAAGGGAATAAGAATAAAATCTGCCGTTCCACTAAAACTTGCAACTACTTTACATGATATCAATTCCCTATGTGGAGTTGTTGGCTCTTGTTGTGCAATGTTCTTGGCTGCATATATTAGAATAACATCCCCAAAGCTTGCCACCGTCTTTGCCAATATTTTTTCTGAGAAGTTAGCCTTGTATAATGAATGGGACATTTACGGTTGAACCTTAGTAATCTATCCCAAAATTTTGATTAACTTTTAATTAATAATTACCTATTGTGAGATTATATTTTTGAATACGTGGGAATCATGACAATCATGACCAAATCGTCCCTTGTGGCTGTCTGAACCATGAATTGCACTGAAGGAACACTGGGAACCACAAAGTAGCGGACACTGCCACCTCATCGTGTTCCAGGAGAAGGGGAATAAGTCAATGAGAAGATCATTGAGTACTATGGCTGCCCTCTGAAATGTTCATCTCACATTACGAAGTATCAAGGAGCGTGTGACGTCCCTTAGATGGAGCTCTAGCATGAGCTCTCACTGTAAGTGCTGCACGCCCACACCAATGATGAGTTGGTTACTAACCTCAGGCAGATATTTGTTTTATTGATCTGTGAACCTTATTCTTCCACCCAGCCAGCCTACCAGCTACATAATTGAACATTCCTCCACCCACCCAGGCAACCAGCTAGATAGTTGAACATTCCTCCACCCACCCAGGCAACCAGCTAGATAGTTGAACATTCCTCCACCCACCCAGGCAACCAGCTATATAGTTGAACATTCCTCCACCCACCCAGCCAGCCTACCAGCTATATAGTTGAACATTCCTCCACTCACCCAGGCAACCAGCTAGATAGTTGAACATTCCTCCACCCACCCAGGCAACCAGCTATATAGTTGAACATTCCTCCACCCACCCAGGCAACCAGCTATATAGTTGAACATTCCTCCACCCACCCAGGCAGCCAGCTATATAGTTGAACATTCCTCCACCCACCCAGCCAGCCTACCAGCTAGATAGTTGAACATTCCTCCACTCACCCAGGCAGCCAGCTATATAGTTGAACATTCCTCCACTCACCCAGGCAGCCAGCTATATAGTTGAACATTCCTCCACCCACCCAGGCAGCCAGCTATATAGTTGAACATTCCTCCACCCACCCAGGCAGCCAGCTATATAGTTGAACATTCCTCCACCCACCCATGCAGCCAGCTATATAGTTGAACATTCCTCCACCCACCCATGCAGCCAGCTATATAGTTGAACATTCCTCCACCCACCCAGGCAGCCAGCTATATGGTTGAACATTCCTCCATCCAGCCAGCCAGCTAGTCAATAATTCTTCCAACCACCCAGTTTGATAGTTAACCATTCCTCCACCTTCCTAGCTAGTCCACCAGTCCTCCACCTATCCACTTTGCTAGTCATCCATTCCTCCAGCCAGATAGACAATGGACGATTAGTTTTCGTAGCCACCTAGCTAATCAACTATTCCCTAGATCCGTCAATGTGCTAACCCTTCCATAAAGACACACTTGTTCACACCTGTAATAGTCAACCTTTATAGTCAAGAAATGGTTGTCATTCAGGAGTATATCTGAACGGCTTGTATATTGCTCCACTTAAATTATTATCGTCGAATTTATCGCCGAATTAAATTACGTTTATATATACTCAGACGTCTAATAATCAATCAATCCTCTGCATCCATCTTCAACTCACTTTCCCATCTTCAACTCATTTATCCATCCAGTCACGAGCTGTGTATCCATTCATCTCTCTGCATGAGTAATTTGTACGTGAATTAAATTGTTGAGAGTAACTGCATTTAAATAATTATCATCCGATTAGAGCTGACAGGTGTTTCTTACATCACCTGCCCTTCAGTCTTTGAATATATATATGCAATTGTAATACATGTGTGTATATTTTGACCAGTGTAATTCTCTCTCTGGGAGAATATATTGATTCAGCAAGGAGTGAATGTGAATAATGTGGACATTCCTCACTGTACTCTAATAATAATCTTCAATGATATCGGCCGATGAAGGAAATATTTGGTCATGTTCTTGCGCTAAAACTAGTCTTTCATGGTCGTCCTGATATTGTCATTGATAATTAATATAATTTGCAACATAACATGATGCAAACTGTCACGATAGTCTTATTAAAATAATTAGGATTAGACCAAATAAAGGTGGATAAGAAGGCCTATGTGGTGGTAATTATGAACTCTAACATTACTCTGTGACCGGTGTCGAAAGTTTTATTGCTCTCGCTACTGAACCGGAAGACTAAATTTCTTGACCAATCAGGTTATTCTGATTTGCTACTAGGTCTCTGAGTGCAGGTGACCGGGAACTCAGGGCACGAACTTGTCTGGTTACCGGCCTTGGTTCCGGCAACTTACCAATGAACCTACCGGAAGATTTATCCGTGTCCATTGATGTTCACACTACTTAGAATATCCTTTTTAATGGGTTGGATCAACGACAGTCTCGCTTCTTGCAGGGTCAGGGTTCGATCCCCCATGGTACATGATGCTAGGCACCGTTTTTTGCCCCATCCTCATAATCCAATTCCTTGTCCTCATATTCCAGCTCCTTCTCTTTAATTTCCCGGTTATTCATCAACAGGTTCCAGCTTAATGTACTCATATCTCAGCGCTGTGTCCTAATATATCAAATATGTCTCATATGTCAGCGTCTTGGTCTAATATGCCATCCCCCTTGTCCTCATATCCCAATTAAAAATCCATATATTCATATTCCTTGTCCCTGTGCCTCAGCTTCATGTTTTCATATCCCATATGAATATAGTTTTCATATTTTCATATTTCATAGCTCCTTGTCGACATATTATTTCCAATGATATAATTATCATTCTTGATTGAACATTCATTCAATTATATGTCCTATAATACCGCATAGTATAAATATGTTGTCAATTTTCGAGAAAGAAGTCTTAAAGGCCAAGAGTAAGACTTAGTTGGTCAGCTTTACTTGTGAATGAGTGAAGAAACGTACGAGTGGTCCCATTGACCCGTTGACGACAATGGGGCCAGTCTGTGTAGAGCAACGGTGCCTGGAACAACGGGGTCTGGAACAACGGGGTCAGGAACAACGGTGCCTGGAACAACGGGGCCTGAAACAACGGGGTCTGGAACAACGGTGCCTGGAACAACGGGGTCTGGAACAACAGTGCCTGGAACAACGGGGTCTGGAACAACAGTGCCTGGAACAACGGGGTCTGGAACAACCGTGCCTGGAACAACGGGGTCCGGAACAACCGTGCCTGGAACAACGGGGTCTGGAACAACCGTGCCTGGAACAACGGGGTCCGGAACAACCGTGCCTGGAACAACGGGGTCCGGAACAACCGTGCCTGGAACAACGGGGTCCGGAACAACCGTGCCTGGAACAACGGGGTCTGGAACAACAGTGCCTGGAACAACGGGGTCTGGAACAACAGTGCCTGGAACAACGGGGTCTGGAACAACCGTGCCTGGAACAACGGCGCCTGACAATGTACTCTGTTCCATTCTAACCTTCTGATAGAGATTTTTAACCCTGTTCAATGTAAGTTATTTTTTCAATAGTTTCTAACTATTACACTAAATAATGTACAAATATGTGTTATTGAAACAGATATATATGAATAAACTCTGGGAAAGTACGTTCATTTCTTCTTCGATATGGAAAAAGTCTATATGGAAAATATACGAAAAAAAAAAAACGGAAAAAAGTCTGATGATTAAAAGATTTCTTCAAAGTCACTACTGATTCAACCTGCTCAAAAATCTACGTTGAATAATCTAATGTCTAGATTAGTTTGAAATCTAGACTAGAATAGAGAAAGTCTAATGGTATTTCATTGATATTTTCCAGCATATTTTATCTCATTAAGGAGATAGAGAATAATTAATGGTGCCATTAACTACTCCAGCATAACAGAATTTACATGTTTTTCTGCGCATATATATATATATATATATATATATATATATATATATATATATATATATATATATATATATATATATATATATATATATATATATATATATATATATATATATATATATATATATATAATGTATAAATTTTTTGTATAAAATCAGATATGTAACTGTATAACCTTGCATAAGTGTACACCATAATAAAAAAAGGGGGGGGGGGGTGGTAGGAGAAGCGAACACACTTTCGTATTCAGAGTTATATGGCAAGTTTTTCCTTGAATGCTCTGTGTTCCCTTCTCTGAGGCTGTGGGTCCCTATAATTGCACCAGAGATGGTACCCCCTATATATAATATATATATATATATATATATATATATATATATATATATATATATATATATATATATATATATATATATATATATATAATATATATATATATATATTTATATATATATATATATATATATATATATATATATATATATATATATATATATATATATATATATATATATATATATATATATATATATATATATATATATATATATATTATTATATTATTAAATATGACCGAAAACGTAAGATTAATAATTCTAACACGAATTTTCTCAATATTTCTTATGTTTCTTTTCACTGTCGATGGTAACTGAAAAATCAATTCTTCAAAATTAATTTTTATTTCTAGTCTGATGCGACACTTGAACGCGTTTCGTAATAACTTATTACCTTTTAAAAGACTTTAGTTTACACACACACAACTATAACCTGCAAACACTAAACAGAGTTTAAACAGCTTTCATTTTATATCTGCATTTGGGTGAGGATATGTTACAACAGTTTTGGATGAGGTGAAAACAAACTTTCAACACAAGACAGAACACGAAACAATGGGTATTATATTGGGTAAGTTAAAGGGATGAATGGAAGTAACTGCAAAGGGCCTATTGGCCCATATTTCTTGATGCTTCTATATTGGTGCGGAGTCTTGAAGTGGGTAGAATATAGTTGTGCATTAATTGGCTGTTGATTGCTGGTGTTGACTTCTTAATGGGCAGTGCCTCGCAGATATCAAGCCGCCTGCTATCGCTGTATCTATCGATGATTTCCGTGTTTTTTGTTAAGACTTCTCTGGTGATGGTCTGGTTGTGGGAAGAGATTATATGTTCCTTAATGGAGCCCTGTTGCTTATGCATTGTTAATCGCCTGGAAAGAGATGTTGTTATCTTGCCTATATACTGAGTTCTTTGAGGCTTACAGTCCCCAAGTGGGCATTTGAAGGCATAGACGACGTTGGTCTCTTTTAAAGCGTTCTGCTTTGTGTCTGGAGAGTTTCTCATGAGTAGGTTGGCCGTTTTCTTGGTTTATAATAAATAGTCAATTGTATCTTCTGATTTTTGTCTGTAGGGATAACGTTTCTATTAACAATATCTTTCAGGACCCTTTCCTCCGTTTTATGAGCTGTGGAAAAGAAGTTCTTGTAAAGTAGTCTAATAGGGGGTACAGGTGTTGGGTTAGTTGTCTCTTCAGAGGTTGCATGGCATTTCACCTTCCTTCTTATGATGTCTTCAACGAAACCATTGGAGAAGCCGTTGCTGACTAGGACCTGCCTTACCCTACAGAGTTCTTCATCGACTTGCTTCCATCCTGAGCTGTGGCTGAGAGAAAGGTCGACATAAGCGTTAACAACACTCCTCTTGTACCTGTCTGGGCAGTCACTGTTGGCATTGAGGCACATTCCTATGTTTGTTTCCTTAGTGTAGACTGCAGTGTGGAAACCTCCGCTCCTTTCCGTGACTGTTACTTCTAGAAAGGGCAGCTTTTCATCCTTCTCCATCCCGTAAGTGAAACGCAGCACGGAACTCTGCTCAAATGCCTCCTTCAGCTCCTGCAGATGTTTGACATCAGGTACCTGTGTAAAAATGTCATCAACATACCTGCAGTATATGGCCGGTTTCAAGTTCATGTCGACTAAGACTTTTTGCTCGATGGTACCCATGTAGAAGTTTGCAAACAGGATACCTAGGGGAGAACCCATGGCGACCCCATCTACTTGCTTATACATGTGCCCATCCGGGCTCAAGAAGGGTGCCTCTTTAGTACAAGCTTGGAGTAGTTTCCTTAGAATGTTTTCTGGTATGTCAAGAGGAGTACAGGCCGGATCACGATACACTCTGTCCGCTACCGGACAGAGAGTGTATATATATCTAACTTTATTTGATAATTTCATTACACTAAAAGGGTTACAACATTGGTTACAAGCAGGGTACAAGGCTGCTTGTCACAAGTTGTATAGTTCCTCCAGCTCCTCAGATGGCGGGCAAGAACCATGGATGCAGTGAGCATTTCCTCTCTGGATCGCCACACTAAGGCGCTGAAAGAGAAATCTGGCAGCTCTAGGGTCTCTAGTTGTTTCAATTAGCTTGGACCCCAAATCCTTCAAAAAACTAGCAGCACTTTTACCCCAGGCACCAAGTGTCTCTGAGGCAATGGGGACAAAATTGTAGTGGTGCTCAAGGTCTCTGTATTTACGTGACTTGGCTGCTTCTGGTGATTGGCAGTACCTCCTGCTTGTGAAGAACTGAAGTCAACATAGGTGTTGGCTAAAGTTGAAATGCAAGTGTAGTCCCACACCAACTGTCTACCATTCTTCCAGGGGTTCACCGTGATTCCGTCTGGGCGACCGACAGGCTCATCAGAGTTGCTGGACATTAGGTAACGGGGCTCTCTCTCTGCTGGACAACCGGCTGTGGTAAGGCTTCTCCTAGCAATGTCGGTAACATCGCCGTGTCTTGCATGCCATCCTCCTGGCCTTTAGCAGAGTAGGCCATGCCGTCTGTACCTGTAAGCCACTGCCTCGCCGCAAATACACCTTATTCGGTGTGGATTGGGGCAGTGAGGCGGAGAGCCACAGCTATTTGGAGGGCCTGCGCTGTGAGACGGGTGCCGGTTGCTGACATTGAGGCTGCTAATAGGAAATCACCTGCATGGGAAGCTGCTACAGCTCTAAGTCGGGCAGTGTCATGTGGTGTTGTCGCAGCTTCTAGCAAAGTCGCATCTTCTTGGTCGGCAATGGGGCGATCCCAGCTGGATTGCTTATGGGCTTCAGAAGGCGGTGGTTGGGGTGCTGGTTCTGTGAGAGAGACCCATTTGGTGGTGCAGTCTGCGATGGATCATGTACCCCTGCCCGTTGAACTAGGTGCTCAGGTAGGATTTCCTTCACCAAGTTGTCAGACGCCACTGAAGAGGACATGAACGCTGGTACAGCAATTTGTGTTGCAGTGCGCACGCCAAGGCCCCCGAGTCTGACAGGAAGGGAGGCCTGTTTCTACTGTGAGTCGCTGAGAGAAAGGTTGAGGGCTTTTTTTTAGCATTGATTTCAGCAAGCTGTCGTACTCTTCTAATTTAATATTGTTGAAAGATGGCGAACATCTTAGAAAGTAGGTCAGCCTGGGGAGGGACAAGCATCTGGTGATGAGGTAAAGTGCATCATGAGCATCGATGTCTTCAATCCTTTCGTTCATCCTCTTCAGGTCAGTGATCTTCTTATATACATCTATATATAGATTTATATATTATAAATATAAATTTAATGTCGTACTTCATAGGTAGAATTCACTACTTGGCCAAGTATGCAAGGCCCGATTTGCCTAATAGGCAGAGGCCCGATTTGCCTAATAGACAGAGTAATTGTGGGTGTTATACTGTGGTGGGCGGGTTTGGGCGTGGGAGGGGAGGGGGGGTGTATTGTGCTGGAGTGAGAGGGGGGAAGGGATGGTAAGGGAGGGGGAGAGGGGTTAACAGTAGTGAGGTCCTCCTGACCTGACACTTCCTGTCTACCTCACTGAGTCACGTGGGACAATAGTGTCATGTGAACCTCTATATTTTGAATAGTAAAAAAATATGATATATTTTAAATTAATATTTGAATTCAATGTGTTCAGCTCATTGATGGCCTAGAGAGAGTACCTCCCACCAGCGCCCCCGCCAAACACAATACTAGGTGGATATGAGACCATGTTCTTACGACGAGGTCTGGTCCACTGTCCTCGCCTGCTTCGGCCGCACTGCTGACTCCTCGTGTTCCAGTATATGCTATTCCTTCCTGTCCTCACTAATTGTCAGTCAACATAGACAACATAGACAGCATGGTTCTTCGCGGTGCTCACACTTTGAGGGATCAATCACTATGGTTGGCTCTACTTAGCTCTAATTTAGGCTTGATGTTTACATATATGATCTTACGCTGTAATAACTCACTATGTACGATGATCTCTGCGTTCTTGTACACTCATGGGACAAAAAAACTATATTTTTGTCTCTGTGGGAAAAACCTGCTGGGATTGATATAAGAGGAGACTACCAGGGACTTGTACTGAACTAAATTAAAAAATTACTGTCTGCAAATTAATTCGACTAAAATCTCTAGCTAGGGTTGTAAATCCTAGATCCTCTTTTCCTAATGACAAACTGTGGGCTGTAAGGGACAGGTGGGGTGAATGACTTAGTTGATAGAAGTTCCAGTCCACCTGTAGACAGGGATCTCACATCAGCTTGTATTTTATACAAGGATAAGATT